TTCTTCTTGTAACATATTCAGGTCCCATGTTATCCTTGCATTATGTGTCAGTAATCCAACAGTAATTTTTCATTCCTGTATCATGAGACACTTTCAAGCTGAAGGCCCCAGATTTCCTTATAAATATTTAGTACATGGTCAGGGGCGCCTGGCTGGCTCAGTTGGAAGAGCATCGACTCTTGATCTCGGGGTTGTGAGTTTGAGTCTCACATTGGGTGTAAAAATTAATAAATAAACTGAAAAAATAAAAATAAATAAATATTTATTACATGGTCAATGTTCATATCAGAATGAAGAGAACAAGAGAGTAAAGAACTCACATCATATAGAATCCACACTATACCTTTATCTTTCTTAATCTCTTTGCTGTACTTCTCTTGCTGTCCTCCTTTCCTGCTTCTGTGAAAATATATATATATTTAAGTTGCATTTATTAGTTTGAGTAAATTAATATATTGATAGAATGAAGAAAGTCAATAGATCTTTATTGAGCTCTCATATAGACCAAACACTTTTCCAAGTAACTTTTGGCCAGAAAGGAGCCTAACCTCAAGATGTTCAGAGCTTAAAGGGGAGGAAGATATATAAATAACTGAAATGCCAAAGAAAGCACAAATTATTAAGAGAGTATAAGACAGAAGCACCAGCTCTACCCAAGGAAGTTAGTAAAGCCCTTCCAGGGAAAGTGATACTTCAAGCTGGCACTGAAGGGACATAGGAATTTTCTAGATAGACAAGGTGAGGGTAAAGTCATTCTAGGAAGATGCAGTAGGTTGTGCAAAGACAGGAAGGCATGCAATTATCTGGTATATTTGGAGAATAATACGTAATTTGTTATGCACTGTAGTAAGTTCTGTAAGACCAGGAATTCATGCTGTACGCTCAACATCTAGAATACTGTCTGTAGCATAGTAAACACTAAACAAATACTTGTTGGATGGATGGGTGGGTGGGTGGATGGATGGATGGATGGGTGGGTGGATGGATGGATGGATGGATGGATGGATGGATGGAAAGAAGAAAGCAAGGAGGTATAAATGAGGCCAGAGAGATAAGAAAATTTCAGCGATAAGGAGCCTTGTTTAGTAACATTTAGCAAAATGCCTACCATCAAGATTCATAGAAGGATACAGATGTTGTTCATAATATACTTGGGAAGAAACAATAAATTCCAAAATATCTGTAATATGTTGTAAAAAATGACAGGCCATAAAAACTACATAAAAAGTGTTACAAAGGTTCAGAAGAAGTAGAGGTCCATTTCAGCTGAGAAGATCAGAGAAGTTGTCATTGGAGCTAGACTCTTTGAAGTTGGTTATACTTGTGTTCTCAGTTGTTTGATTTAAAAAAGAAATGTGCATAGACTTGGAGAGAAATGGTGTGGCAGAAGAGGGATGGGAATTTGGGACTAGACTAGACAGCCTTGCCTGCTTGGTCATAAATTTATCAGCATTTTATAAGCAGTCATTTATCAGCCTACACCACTTCCTTGGAAGCAGAACCTGACAGGCTCTGATGTTATCTGTAGTAAACACCTTTCTCTTGTTTATGTGGGTGTCTCTGTGTTTGTTTATGCTTGTACCTGCACACCAGTGATTTGGAGACAGCTCTTTCTGCAGAGACCATCACTGAAGGGGACACATCAACTGAAACACAAGCTAAACTATTAACAATACCTTTTAAAAATGCACCTTGCTACTCACACACTTCCATGTATATGCATGCACCTGCTACATGGACCACAAGCACACCCAGAGTTCTATAAGCCAATGACCTGGGAAAGATTTTAGGTGACTGTAAATATATAGTTCTTATTTTTTGTTTTCCTCAGCTCGATTCTATCTGGCCATACCTTATATTCATTTTGAGGTAAGACTTATTAAGCATCAGTTATATCCTTGTAACCTACTGGATGCTGTAAGGAGTTCATGTAATAAAATAATTACTCATTAATCCAATACATAGTTATTGATAACCAGCTGTGTGTCAGGCACTATTTGAAACACTGAAGATGCAGCATGGGATTTTTAAAAATCATTCCTTGTGTTTACATTTTGAGAGGTAGATACAGACATTCAACAAAAATGTGGCACTTTAGATGGTGTAAGTACTAGTAAGAGCGGTGTTGCAGAGTAAGGGGGAAAGAGAGTGTGAGGGTTGGGTGGTTAAGAATGGCTGCCCCCATAATGGGATATTTGAGTAGAGACTTGAAGGAAAGACGTCTGGGGGAAGAGTATTCCAGGCAGAGGGAACACCCAGAGCAAAGACGCTGAGGCAGAAGTATGTGGCCAGTGTGGCGAGAGCAGAATGGCCAAGGCAGAGCATGGCTGGAGATGAGGTAAGAGGTGTTGGATGGGGGAGAGTTGACCGTCACATCAGACCCACTGGCCATTGTGCAGACTTTGGTTTTTACTCAGAGATGAGAAGCCTTTGGGGATTTTGTGCAGAGAAGTGACACAGTCTGATTTACATCAGCTTCCATGTTGAGCATCAGTTGCAGGATGAAAGGGTAGAAGCAGGAGGACTACAGAATGGTCGGCTAGACCGAGTGAACTGTTTGAACCAACAGGATTTGTTGTAGATGTGGAATGTGAAAGAAGGGAGTCCATGATGACCTCTCACTATATGTGGTCTGAGCACCTGGAAGGCTGGAGCTGCTATTAACTGAGACGGGAAAGATTTCAGGAAGAACAGGCTTGGAGGATGTAAAGAGCTCAGTTTTGAGCACACTGGGTTTAAGATGCTTATTAGTGAAGAGTTGGGTATAAGACTCTGGAGTTCAGTGGATGGACCTGGGATGGAGAAATACATTTGGGAAGTACAGCAATTAGATGGTCTTTAAAGCTGTGAAACTGAATAAAATAACCTAGGGTGTGGGTGTAGAGAGAGGAGAGACAGAGACTGAGAACTGAGCATGGAAGCATTCCAATATTTAGAGGTCAGGGAGATGAGAAAGAACCAGCCCTGGAGTCTGAAAAAGAGGCTGGGGAGGAGGGAAGTTGAGGGTGAGCCAAGGGAAGAAGGTGCTTCAAAGAGGACAGAATAAGCCATTATCAGGTGTTGTTGAGAGAGCAAATAAAACCCAAAAGTTGCTTTAGCAGCCTTGAAGTCTTTGGGAAGTTTGTTATGCAGTGGTGGGGCAGCCTGATTAGATTGCTTTCCACCAAAGAATGGCAAGAGAGGAGACAAATGTCCAGTAATATAGAAAACTCTTTGAGGTTTTACTCTAAAGAAAACTGGGCCATCACTAGAGGGGAACATGGGATTAAGTCAAGCTTTATATTTTTTCCCCATGATGGCAGATGTTAGTGTCCTTATGGGAATGATCCTAGTAGGGAGGGAAAATGCAGTGCTTCCAGAGAATGGGAGAATCATACAGTGGTGTTGGTCCCCTTGTAGGTGAAAGGGGGCACACAAATGGAAGGATGTTGGCTTTAGATCGGACGAACTGTGAATGCTCCCTAATAACAGGCTACTTTGCTTCAGATGCGGGCAGATCAGTAAATTTGGTGATGGAGCATATGTAAATTCTCTTGATTGCTTATATTTTCTCATGAAACCAAAAAGTGGCCATGTTGGACGTTTAGAGAGAGAGAAGCTCAGAGACAGTAGCCAAAGAGCAAGAGAAAATCTTAGACAAGGTAACTGAGATAGGATCTTGGGGCAGCCTAGGAGCCCACATCTACAAATGACTTAACTATAGCAAATCAGTAGTTAAGCATAGCCTCAACCCAAGGCTATTACATGCAGCATCTTTTTACCACTTTGTGTGGTGTCTGCTCACAGATTACTCAGTCTTATTGAAAAAATGGAATATACAAGACAGGATAAGAGAATATGTGATCAAGTATTAAATTCTTTTTTTTTTTTTTTTTTAACGTTTATTTATTTTTGGGACAGAGAGAGACAGAGCATGAACGGGGGAGGGGCAGAGAGAGAGGGAGACACAGAATCGGAAACAGGCTCCAGGCTCTGAGCCATCAGCCCAGAGCCTGACGCGGGGCTCGAACTCACGGACCGCGAGATCGTGACCTGGCTGAAGTCGGACGCTTAACCGACTGCGCCACCCAGGCGCCCCAGGTATTAAATTCTATAGTATGAAATGATACAAGGAGTTTATTCATTCAGTGATACATATAGAGTATTTAATATGTGCAAGGCCCTATTACAAGTACTTGGGCTATTGCAAGGAGCAAGACAATGAAAAAAATCTTAGAGTTATGTGCTTCAGAGAAGTTTTAAGTTATTTTTTAAATTTTTTATTTATTTTCAGAAAGCAAGAGCATGAGTAGGGGAGGGACAGAGAGAGAGGATGAGAGAATCCCAAGTAGGCTCCGTGCTGTCAGCACAGAGCCCAATGCCGGGCTCTGTCTCACGAGCTGTGAGATCATGACCTGAGCCCACACCAAGAGTTGGACACTTAACTGAGCCACCCAGGCACCCCCCACTTCAGAGAAGTTTTAGAAGGCTTTCTAGGTGATTCTTCCAAGGCACCATCATTTGCTTAAAAAGCACAATATACTACACACAAATTAGGGAATTGTTTTTCTGCTGCTGGCTGTGTGTGATACTGCTTCTTTGCTTCCACTCACCATGACTTGTTGGGGTCCCTATCCATATACTGAGATGCTGTGGTTTTGCAAGTTCCACCCTGACTAACAGTACTATGAGTTTGAATCTGTATTCCAGCATAGGGAATAATTGCACGAAAATGTCTTAGTCTCCATCTAATTTCTTAATCTAAAAAATTGGAATGCCACATCTCATTTCAGAATGATAAGACCCTGTTCCATAGTGAAGTGTTGCGCTAACACACATTCTAAGATCATTCTCCATTTTTTAAACTGTGGTGAAGTATGAAAGAGAAATAAGGGCCATGTTCAGCCTGCAGGTGCCACAGTCCCCATCCTTAACCTAGTGATTTCTGAGCACCTGTGAGAAGCTTTGAACTAACTAATGACCTTTTTCCCCTCTTTTTCCTTCTTCCTCCTCAGGCCTGGAAGAAGCGATGGTTTATCCTGCGGAGTGGCCGGATGAGTGGTGACCCAGATGTTCTGGAATACTACAAGAACGATCACTCTAAGAAGCCCTTGAGGATCATCAACCTGAACTTCTGTGAGCAGGTGGATGCAGGCCTGACCTTCAACAAGAAGGAGCTGCAGGATAGTTTTGTGTTTGACATCAAGACCAGTGAGCGCACCTTTTATCTGGTGGCCGAGACGGAGGAGGACATGAATAAGTGGGTCCAGAGCATCTGCCAGATCTGTGGCTTCAATCAGGCTGAGGAGAGCACAGGTAGGAGAGCAAACAGGAACCTTTTTCCCAAGTGGCAAGGTGCTTCCTGGAGCAGGCTTAGCAGTTGGGACTAAGATGAAGGCCTTCAGATCCCTTGAGCAAGGACAGACCACTGCAGCTAAAAGCGTTCGTCTTTGGCAGAGGAGTAATAGGCAAAGAGTAAGACTGTGAAGGTTTTGATCAAATACTAGAGGAACCCCTGGCCCTAATTACATTCAAATGGGAAACAGATATGTTGAGGTTATGAGGAAGCTAAAGGTACTTTGTGGTATTTCTTCAGGTACCTCAACACCACTCCATTTCTCAGCCCTGCACCTTTCTCCCCTTCCCTCAGCTTTCTAGCCCTCTGTGCTCTCTTACCCACCACTTATCCCAGAGGGCAGTGCTCACCTTGATTCCTTCTCTGGTCCACCTCTGCGTGTTCTAGCCCATCTATTTCAGACCATCCTGCACAGCTACACGTGCCACTTTTTTTCCTTTGGGTTTGGGGTAATTACTGTTGATATATAATCCAGTGTTCTTTTATATTCACTTGGGAGGGGATAGGTGAGAGAGGGAAATGCCGATTTATATTTGGGTCTTGTTGACTTTCACAGAATAGTAGCCCAACTTTTGTAACTGAGTCTTGAGTTGCAGAAATGCCCTTTGACAGTTGTTTGGGCTCATCCCCAAACTTGGGGATGATTGAGAAATAGGTTTTTATGTTTGGGTTTTTTTTTCCTGAGGCAGGCGGAGAGCTTAAATCAATAGTTCTTAAACCTGGTTGCACAACAGAATTAAAGGGGAGCATTTTTAAAATGTTGATGCCAAGGACCCATGCCAGATCAGCTCACTAGGAATCTCAGGGGTGGGACCTAGGCATAAGTGTCTCTTCACAGCTTCATTCTGAGTAGCAAGCATCCGCGAGGCTCAGCAACCATTTTCTGTAAATATTTGAAGGCCAATTTTTTTTGCAACCCTCTAAAAACACACAAACTGGAGCTCCTGGGTGGCTCAGTCTTTTAAACATCTGACTCTTGATTTTGGCTTGGATCATGATCTCACAGTTCATGGGTTCAGTGGTGTAAAGCCTCCTTGGGATTCTTTCTCTCCTCTCTCTGCCCCTTCCCCACTCATGTGCACGCGTGTGCGCGCTCTCTCTCAAAATAAATAAGTTAAAAAAAATAAAAAAACACAGAAACCATTCTTAGCTCATCAGCAACATCAACATCATCTGAGAACCTGTTAGAAATGCAGATTCTTAGGATCACCCCAGCCAGACTTACTGAATCAGAAACTCTTGGAGTAGGGCCCAGCAATCTGTGTTTTTACAACCCTCCTGGTGATTCTGATGCACGATTAAGTCTGAAAACAGCTAGTTTAGACTCTTGCTACTTAGAGTGGGGTTGGGGAACCCAAAGCATCAGCTTCTCATGGGAACTTCCAAGTCTGATTTGCAGAATCAGAATATATATGTATTTTTTAAACTTATTTTGAAATAATCTTAGAGTTTCAGTAGAGTTGCAAAAATTGTACAGTAAGTTCCCATGTGCCTTTCCCTCAGCTTTCCCTATCTTACTCAACCACGGTACAGCTATCAAAACTGGGCAGTTAACATTGGTACAAACCTTTCAAGTACAGTATATTTGGATTTCACTTCTTTTTCACCCTTGTCTTGATTCCTTCAGGATTCAGCCCGGCATACCACATTAGATTTAGTGATTATGTCTCCATATCTCCTCCAATCTGTGACAGTTCCTAAGTCTTTCTTTTTTTTTTTCTTTCTTCCTTTTTTTTTTTTTTTTTTTTT